TGTGGAAATTTGGGCTAGGATAAGTGTTTAATTTTGTGTAAGGTGTTCAAATTGGATGTGGAAATTTGGGCTAGGATAAGTGTTTAATTTTGTGTAAGGTGTTCAAATTGGATGTGGAAATTTGGGCTAGGATAAGTGCTTAATTTTGTGTAAGGTGTTCAAATTGGATGTGGAAATTTGGGCTAGGATAAGTGCTTAATTTTGTGTAAGGTGTTCAAATTGGATGTGGAAATTTGGGCTAGGATAAGTGCTTAATTTTGTGTAAGGTGTTCGAATTGGATGTGGAAATTTGGGCTAGGATAAGTGCTTAATTTTGTGTAAGGTGTTCAAATTGGAGAGGGATATTTGTGTGTGCAATGTGCCAATATACTGGTGGAAATATAGGGAGGGGGTTTCTCCTTTTTCAACCATATTTTTCTATCCCTATTCATGTTATTAACAACTTGGTCATATGGATCGACTTCTCAGAATATGACGAAAAAGGCTACATTTTTAACTTTCTAGTTGGCTGTCTACAATAAATATAGTTCAATCTGAAAATACTAAAATGTCCAATTAACAAAATACTGCATGTTGCATCCTCATGATATTCATGAAGTTTCAAAGCATATTTATGCCTTTTGTTAGATTAATTGAGGATAGATTATCCTAACTTTTTGAAGTAGAATTCTGAAAAATGCTCCACTTGCAGTACTGCAATGCTAAGACCATTCATTTTTCCCCTGCAATTGATATCTGTACTTTTGTTAGGGATCACTTCATAAAAGACCCATTAAGTGTAGCTCATAAGATCAATGCCCATACAACTACATAAACTATTGTTGCATGGTAGCTGTTTGAATTTGATAGATTCATTCCCATGACATGGTTTTAATGTCGTACTTTTTGTCTCTTTTTGTGTGATCAATTGATTTGGCCAGCGTTCAGTGAAGATGGAAAAAGCATATATACATTGATTTGTCAGGACATTGCACTGGTAGCCACAGGCTACAGATATGTACATACTTTATTATTATTATTATTATTATTATTATTATTATTATTATTATTATTATTATTATTATCCTATCATTTTGCATGATGATGATGTGTATTACATAGTCTATGAACATTATTTTTATATATATACAGTACTTATAGATCTACTATTTTTATTCATTCAATCTTTTAATTATTTATTCATTTATCTATTTATTCACCACAGACATCAATACATTTAAGAAAAACAGACAAAAAAGGATTATTAATTTTGTTATTTAAAGACACAGAACAGGAAACATTTTTTACCTGCTGCAGTGGTCTGATAATGAATGTCACAATCATCGGAAGAGTAAATAATGAAATGGTACAGTGTACCGAGAGCAGTAATATGATAGCCATGAATTCCCATGTGAGAATCCTATTGATTTATTTTACCTACAGTAACATCACATACATCTCAAACACATGTTCTGTTGATAGGTTTTTTTTATATTTCTAGCATGTCAGTGAGTCCAGGAAATTGCTCTGTTGTATTTCCTTGCAACATTAATTGTCCAAGACATTGCGTGCCTGTTTCTTCTTTGAAAAAGTTGTGTCACCATTTAGCCAGTGGAAACAATTATTATTTATAGTTGTTAAAATTGAGATTGGACTGAAATTGTTTTCACATTTTTATTTGAAAAAGAAATGAGGGGGTTGAGCAGCCTTTTGAATACTTGTAATTACAGCAGTTAGTATGCCAGTGAAGGAGGGTTTATTTATTTATGTTGTTTTCTCTGTTTGACAGTGGATAAGAGGGCTCAAAATGTTTTTCACAAATTTTGACGAAACTTTCGGGTAGATTCAGAGGGAAAGAGACTAAATCCGGGACTCCTAATATCAGTAATCTCATTCAGTAATTGATATTTTTCTTTATGGTCTGTGTTCTTTGAGTGGTCTTTTGTTTGGTTTGGTATATAGTTCAGCCGCGTTTTAAAAAGTGCACTCATGAGTATCCGAATATCTTAAAGAGACATTGAATCAAATAATTATATATTTATAATACTCAAGTGTACTCTAAAACTGACAAAATTTAATGGAGTAAACCAGTAGTGCCCTGTTGATAAAAGAACCCTCTGAAGGCTTAGCAACTTATTATAAGAGAAAAGCATTTCCAACAGAATCAATTTCTACTTAGAAGAAAAGGGGGGTAAAATGAACAAAGAACAAACCTTCTTATGATATATTAATATTTGTTTGTTTCTACAACTCATTTACTTATACTGAAAAATTTTTGGTTTTGTATAAAAGATAAAATAAAATTTTGTGTGGTTTGAAAGATGTATTTAGTATTGGACCTACAAGAAATGAATATTCATTTAGAGAGGTAGAAATTGTAAATATACTGTAGACCTAAAGTACTAAGCACCTCTGTAATCAGGATTTCATAATACAAAATCATTGATATTTTTCACTGAAATATCAGTCTGAGAATAGAAAAAGTGTTAAACTCAGATACAGGTTTCGATCTGTTATTTTAAGCAAAACTCTCATGTTTATCTTAAATTGTCTGTTACCTTGTGGTAAATATTTGATCGTTACGTCAGTGTCCAAGCGGCAACATCATATTCTACAATTACAGAGATGGCTTAGTTTGCCTTCTGCATTTCCATGTACTTTATTATTGAAGTGGAAACCAAATTGGATTTTAATCCCGCGGGAGTTGTTGGGTAGTTACTGGATCAGGCACTGCAAAACATATGCTAAGAGGGTAGGAAAGGGGGGTCCACAGGCGCTTGTGTTAAAAATACTCCTTCACTGATCATTTTTATGTTTTAATGAGGTAATAAATGTTAAAATGAAGCAATTGTTAGTAGAAATTGACCAGGTTTCTGTGGGTCTTTTTTGTATAAAAACTTTTTATAAAGATTAATGTGAGACAGTTCAATTGCTTCATTGGCCATTTATTATAGAAAAACATGCTCTAATTGCAACTCAGTTTAAAAACTTGTTTTTATTTTCATTTTTCATTCAGCTTTCAAAGATTTCAAAAGTTCTTTTTAAATGAATGAAGTCTTTAGTAGTCTGTGATACACAGAACTTAAAAAAATAGGAATTTTATCTTTGTTTAAATCATAAACCCCCTCCAAGTAATAATTAGACGTGGCCGTCAGTAATTCATTATTCATACTAATTTCTCACGT